GCCTTCCAACGATCTGAGGGACAGTGAACTGGCCCCCTGTTTAAAAAGTTTGAGGACCCCTGCCATAAAGATTGATAATCTCAGAAACTCACAGGGGTGGTTCCACCCTGTCCTCTGTGCGTGGGCATCGACTCGATGGCCATGAGTTTTAAAAGATCCAGTGACCTTACAACCCAGATGTGGCCACAGCTGTCCCCTGGATGTGGACAGAGGATGAGAACAGGGTTGAAGTAGGAGAATAGTGGGCCCTGGTGGTATACTGCATACACATTGGGCTGCTAACCACACGGTCAGCAGTTTGAAACCACCAACGTCTCCCTGGGAGAAAGATGAGGCTTTCTACTCCCATAATGAGTGACCATTTCGGAGACCCACAGGGGCAATTCCACCCCGTCCTATGGGCTCCCTAGGAGTAGGCTTCCACCCCTGCTGGGGTACCCTGTCCCCTGGGTCGGCATCGACTTGATGATAGTGGGGGTGTTTTGTTTTCCCATGTCAGTCTTAACCCCAGATGTGGAGGCTGGAGAGCTAAGTGGGCCAAGACTTGGTGAGTGACGATTTCGTTTTCAACCATCCTCCCGACTGTCCCCCTTTGTTTTCAAGACCAAGTTTCTCGGCTCCTAAAATCTCTTCAGCTGTGGGGAAGGACTGGGGGGTCCAAGTTCCAGAACTTTCTTCAGTTCCCCCAGGCCAAGAGGACCCCTAGTTCCTGCTGGTCCACAGGGGCCGCAGAAGTATTGCCTCTTTAAGGGGCCCAGACACCAGCTTTTCGGATGTCATGGCCACACACACCCCTGGGGTCACTTGCACCCACACTGCATTCACAGAGCCTCCTCTGTGGTGTCCCTTCCCAACTTCCCAGGTAGGCTGATTGAGGCCCGGAAAGAAGTGACTTGCCTGATGTCACACAGCTTACATAGTCAGACCCAAGTAAGCAGGCAGGCGTGTATCCATCGGCCCTGTTCAGTTCCCTGCCTGCTGTGTGGGTGGTTTCTGGGACATGCTGAGGAGAGGGGACTGGGAATGGGCCTTTGGAGCCTACGTGGTATAATCCCAGCCCTGCTAGGGTTGGGGCAACCATCCTTAACAGCCGCGTGCTCTGCCAGACTAGGGGCACCCACTAAGAGTTGGGCATCAGAGACCGATCATGCCCCCTCTCCATCGGGCTGGTGGGTCTGCTTCCCAGTCTTCCCACGGAGGCTGCGTCCCCCCAGAACCCCCAGCTCTAGAGGCAGCAGCGAGGGGGCCACGGGGGTTCTGAACCAGATCGTGGCCCCCACCTGCTGTTTGTTTCCTCGCCTGACCACTCAGGCTGGCTGTCGCTTTGGCCCTAAACATCGTTCTTACAAAAGCTCCTCCTCGGGCCTGTGGTCTGAAAGATGCTGCCAAGTGCTCCTGGTCCTTGCTGAGGAGGAGAGGAAGGTGAAGGAATGATGAGGCTCTAGAGCAGGGTCCTGGGAGGAAGATGTCGCTTTCTACTCCTGTCACGGTACAGTCTGGGAAACCCACAGAGGCAGTTCTACTGCGTCCTACAGGGTCACTATGAGTTGGAATTGGTGGCAGCGAGTTTGGTTTGGGTTTTGAGATCAGGGTCCTAAACAGCTCGGATTTTCCACCTCTGAGATGCTGGGAGACAGAAGGCTCCCAGCTCCCATCGGCTTGGGTGCTTCCCACCCATCAAGGCCCTGTTCCTGTGATGGGGCCACCGAGTGAGGGGCAGGGGGATGGCAGTCTCAAGTCATCAGAGTCTGAGAGGTACCAGAAAATAAAGCCATTTTATTATTTTTTGTTCTCTGCCACAGTGGCCTGAGGAGTGGGGGTGGGTGGGAGGGGGTTTGGTGGTGGCCCTGCTGAAGACCCTGGGCCCTCTACTTGGCCTGGACTGTCGCCTCCAGCCTATCCAAGCGCTTCTGCAGCTCCTGCACGGTGGCTTGGAGCTTCCGCACTTCTTCCTCCAGCCGGGATACGGCATCCTGGGGGAGCCAACCAGCTCTGCGTCAGGCCCAGCTCCCTCAGCCCTGGCATCTGCGAGCTGCCCCCCAAGAGACCCTGGACGGAACTTCTCAGCCTGAAACCTGAGGCCTCAGGAGTGTCCACCCCTCACCCCAAAAGGATCCCCCACACTGCTGCCCCAAATGCCAGCCTCCCTCCACTGGGACAGAGACCAGATCCGCAGCAGCCACTGCCCGAACCCACTCCCCTCCTGAGGCCTGTGGTCCCCGAGTGCCTCTCACCCCTCTCACCGAGCTGGGCGTGCCGCAGGACTCTGGCGCTGCCCTCCTACGCCCGCTGTCCAGGCCCCGGTTGACCCGCAGCTCCCGGCTCTTCGAGGGCACATAGCCATCCTTGAGGGAAATGAGGAGGGGGCCGGCATCCCGTCCGCCAAACCACTCCTCAGCCGTGAGCGCAGGGTCGGGCCCTGCAGTGGGCGGGTACAGATCCTCCTGGAACAGGTCCGACTGCGGGCAAGGGCGAGGCTAGTTAGAGCGCTGAGCCCCCATCCCCCCCGCCCCACCCCAGCCCCCCAGATGGCTGCCCAGGAGGGGCCTTGGAAGCTTCACCTTCCTGGGCACAGTCATGGCGATGGGCTCACACTTCCGCTCGTGCAGCTTGTAGAACCTGTGGAAGCAGGAAGAAGTGAGCAGAGCCCACCTGGGGCTCGTGGGGCAGCGTAGGGTCAGACCAGGGCCGGCTGCTCACCTGGCGATCTCGCACTTGTTCACCTCCAGGCCGCGTTTGGGCATGTAGCCCATGCCACGCTGGGACTCCTTGGAGCTGAACATGCAGAGGTAGTGCAGGTACGGGGCCTCTGACGTGATCTCAAAGTAGCGGATGGAGCTGTCGCCCTGCGGCAGAAGCCAGCACCCAAAGACACCTCCAGCGGCCGCCCTTGGCAAGCCCCCCTCCCGCGCACCCCGCAGCCCCTGCCTGCCAGGGCCACCTTGCCACAGAGATAGACAATGTTGGTGTCAGGGTCGAAGAAGGGCAGCAGGACGCCGCTGCTCGTGTCCAGCTCCTGCAGGGACAGAGGCTCCTCCAGGTGCTTCTACAGAGACAGGGACCGTGTCAGGCGCTGGGACGGAGTGGGGGGGCTCGCTTCACCCCCGGGAAGGGGACGCAGCCCAGGCAGGTGGAGGTGGCAGGTGGCCGGGCGCGTGGCACTCACCGTGTCCCACAGTGCCACCTGCCGCTCGCTCATGCGGCTGAAGCCCGTGGTCAGGATCTTCCCGTCGGACACGAACACGGCGTGCACCGGCCGGGTCCCCTCGTGGGGGCGGTCCTTCTCCTGGCAGGGAAACGGGCGTGGTGGGTCAGGCCCCAACGCCCCGCCCCCGAGGGAGCCAGGCCCAGGTAGGGGGGTGGCAAACAGGACAAGGGAGGGTGGCACCCAGGGGCCTTGGTGGTGGTGGGTAGGAGGGCAAAGGTCACGATCCAGGGCCACTCACCGCGACCACGGTGCCCTTGCGGGGCTCGATGACGCGCACGCGCTTGTCGCGGCAGGACGTACAGATGAGGCCGCCGTCCCGGCTCCAGTCCACGCTATAGATGGTGTCCGGGTGCACGTCTGGGCCCAGCGTCAGCATGGCCTCCCCAGTGCCCACGTCCCACACCAGAATCACGTTGTCACAACCTGGGCAATCGACCCATCTGAGTCAGAACCCACAAGCCTCCCTGCCCTGCCCTGCCCTGCCCTGCCCAGCCAGCCCCCTCCCGCGCCGGCAGCCCCCTGCACCTGCGCTGAGCAGCACATTCTGCGCAGTGGGGTGCCAGGCCACAATGCCCACTCGCTTGGTGTGGCCCTCCAGGGTGACGACGGGCTCCCGAAGGGGCAGCACCAGGCCCCCGTCGGGGATCTCCCACACCTGCAGGGAAGGGGTCGGTGAGTTTTCCGGGCTCCGGCCTCTAGGCTCCAGACCTTGGGGAAGCCCCCTCCCCTTGGAAGCCCAGCCCTGCTCACCATGACTGTGCAGTCCTCAGAGCCACTAGCAATGACGTTGTCATTGTGCGGGCACCAGGCAATGTCCAGCACGGGCGCCGTGTGGCCGCAGACCGTGGGCACGTTCTTGTCCACTCGTCCAGTCTAGGGGTACAGCAGGACCTTGATGTGGGGTGCACTTTCCCCTCCACATCCCTCCATGCCCTCTCCAGAGTGTAAGACTGCCGGGTCCCTAGGTCCTGGTCTGGGGAGAAGGTGGGTCCTCTGTTTGCCACAGCCCCAGAGCTGTGTGGGCACACCCCAGGAGGACTGTGGGTTCGGGGCCAGGCTGAGCTGGATCTGCCCTTGGTGCTGTGTGGTCTGACCAAATTCTGACCTGGCTCCGTCTCAGCTTCTGAGCTTCTATGCTGGAAGATCAGTGGGAAATGGAATCTCTGGTCTCCCAGCTGCCCCCTCCCCACCCTCTATCCCTCCAGCTTCCTGAAGCAAGCAAGGCTTCCACGGCCAAGTGAGGAGCTTTGTGTGTGTGTGTGTGTGTGTGTGTGTGTGTAGGGGTTTGGGGCACTTGTGTTGGGACTGAGCTTCTCCCAGGAAGTGTGTGTGCGCGGTAGGGCTGTAGAGGCGATAGCAGGACTGGGAGGTTTGTCACCAAGGCCCCCAGGAAGGAGCAGAGGTTTGGAAATGGCCTCTTCCGGGGAGAGCTGCTGCAGGGCTTCCTGTGTGCAGAGCTGCGTGTGGGGGCGCAGGCCGGCTCTCACCCCGACAACCACTTCCTCTTTTCTTTGCCTCCATCGGTCCTTGTAAGGTAACAACCTAGGGCTCCTCACCCCTTCCTGCCTCACCCCCTAAAGAGCCCAGGAGGGTGCTGGGGGCAGGGCTCTACAGGCAGCATGGGGGAGGGGGACTGAGTGGGGAAGGGAGAACCACTCTTGCATCAACCCCCAGGGGCCAGAGCCTCTGGCAGGGCCAGCCCCTGGGTCCCCCCAACCCTGAAAAGCCCTGTTGGCCCTGCCCACTCTGTGCTTCTGAGGGGAGGGGGCCCTAGGCTGAGACCCCATGGGCTGGCTGTGTGGCCCCCTCCCAACCACCACAGGTAGGAGCGCCAAGGGTCTTCAGGCTCCTCGGGCCCATTCTACAGACAAGAACACTGAGACCCAAAGAGGCTTGGTGATGGTCAAGGGCCCTAGGGTGGGCACTGGCTGGCAGGCCACACCCTTAGGTGGAGGAGATGTTGCTTCAGGGTCCCAGGGCTCACCTTGCCCAGGGGCAGCACCAGGAAGGCCCCTCCCCCACTGGCCTCACAGATCAGGGCCACAAACTTGGGGTTGACGGCACAGAAGCCACTGTCCCAGGTGGTCTGTGAGACTCGCACATCTTCATAGCACTGGTCGGCCTTGGCCGGCTGTCCGAACACGTGACGGAACTTGCTGGAGCGGACCACCTGCCGGCTCATCCTGAGGGCATACGGATGGGGGCTCAGCAGGTCCACTGGGACCGGAGCCAGCCCCCACCTTTCTCAAGACACCCCTGGGTCTGGCTATCCTCAGCTCATTTCCCTAGCATGGTCTCCTTGGGCACCCCCTGCTCCCCACCCCACCACTGCATGTCTTCTACCCCCTGCCCCACTCCTGTCTCCCCACAAGGCCCTGCAGACCCCAGCTAACTCCAAACCACCCCTCCGGGCTGGTGCCCTTTTCTCTAGTGGGTTCAGAGCCTGAGCCCCAGTCGCTTGGAGGGTGAGGTCTGACTCATATCCCTCACACCCGCATGGGGAGCTTCCTGAAGGCAGGGGCTGACCCACCCTCCCCTGGAGGAAGTGGTGTGAGGGTCTGGGACGTGGGGGGATGAGCAGGTGGGACAGACTCCCTAGGAGGTCTCTGGGCACACATGCAAGCAGATGGCTCCTGTCTCCTCCCCCACTCTGCTGCCACTCTCTCGCCTCCACTCAGAAAAGGCAGGTGCCCTGGGGGGCTGTCTCCACTCGGGTGGGGGCTCCGGGAACAGAGGGCCGGGTACTGCCTCCTCCACAGTCCAGCTGGCCCACCGGAGAGCACCAAGCCAAGAGGCTCTGGGGCCAGTCCTGGTGCCACCCTGTCACCTGCCTGCCCAGTGTAGAGCCCACCTGTCCTTGCCCCTTGCCCCTTGCCTTCAAGTCTGTCCCCTTCACCTGGGGACCCCAGCCCTCCTGGCTCACCCTCTTGACACCCTACAGGCAGCTTGGAGCAGGTGCGAAAGGAGCAGCCTGCCGTGGGTTCAGTCACAGGTGAGAGGCCGGGGCCAGGGGTGAGAGGCACCCCAAATCGCAGACCGAAGGCCAGGAAGCCATGGCCCGGCTCTGCCTCCTCCTCCCCCCGCAGGTACCAGGCCCGGAAACCCTGAAAAGGGGAACTTGGTCTTTTCTTGTTTTGCTATCAACCCCTTCCTGTCTCGACGCTCAGCACAGCTGCTCCTGCACCCCACCCAGCCCCTCACCCCCTGGCCACCCCACAGACTCTCATTTTGGGAGGAATCGGGGTCACCGTGCACCCCAAGCCCCGCTGGTCCAGGCTGCAGACCCTCCATCTTGTCTGTGGTGGTCCCGCCCGCTCACCTCTCCAGAGCTCCTCGGACGCAGATGGCTGTGGAGCCCCCACTCGGGGACAGTGGCCCCCACTCGGGGACAGTGGCCCCCACTCGGGGACACCCGGCAGCCAGCCACCCGGACAAGCTGTCCGCCCCCACAACGTCAGCTCCCACGCTCACGCCTGCCCACAGGTGGCCCAGTGCACGCACAGGCCTCTGCAGGCAGCCCACCCCCTCCCCCCAGGTCCCCAGCCCTACCTGCTGCCAGAGATGACAATGAGCCTCCGAGTGGAGGACGAAGAAGTGGAGGAGGAGGCGGCAGGAGCCGGGAGAGCCCAGACTCGCCGAGGATGCTCTTGTCAAGACAATGAATGAGAAGCGCCGAGCGGCCGCCTCCTTAGGGGTGGCAGCGCCCCTTTGGGGCGGAGCTCCGAGAGGGGATGGCCCTGCCCTCCGCGCCAGGGGCCACCCGCCGCCCCGCGACCCAAGCACCGCCCTCCCCGCCGCCAGCCCCGAGCCCGATCCCCGCACGACAGACGCTGCCGGCTGGTCGCTGCGAGGCCACTGCTTGGCACATGTGCCCAAATACCCTGTCCTCCGTGCCTCCTGCAGCCCACCCACTGCTCCTCACCGTCCTTGGCTGTCTGTCGCGCGTTAGAAGACCCCCCGGGCGCCCCCCCCCTAACTATGTGCCCCGGTCCCTCTCCCAGCCCCGGCTGGGCCTGCACCCAGGGAGCCTGGTTGTCGCCCTGCGCCCCGAAATTTACACAAGCCAGGAGCAGGCCGATCTCCTGGCTTCAGCAGCCGCCCAGCTTCAAAGGTGCCAGGTGTGGAATCCGTGACAGAGGTGACAGAAGCACCTGCAGGTTGAAACGTCGCTGGGGAGAAGGCGGGGTTTTCTACTGGGGTCAACAGTTCCAGTCTGGGAAACCTGCAGGGGTCACCGCTATGAGTCAGCACTGATTGGGTTTGTCAGTTTCATTTTGGGAAAGAGGACGCAGAGGTGACCGCCCACCCCCCCGGGGCCGAAGAGGGCGCTGGGGTTGCGGTATCAAGAGGGACTGCAGTCTCTCAGACCCTCGGATGCAGAGCAGGTCTCTGGGAGGGGACACCGCGGAGGGCGGGTAAGGCCTTGTCTAAAAGGAGACTGGTTTAAGGGCTTGACTTTATACTGGCTGGCCTTCTCAGTAGACAACCTCACTGCTACCGAGTCAATGTCGACTCGGGGTCGAACTGCCCCCTGTGAGTTTCTGAGACTGTTGGTCTCTCTGGGAGTAGAAAGCCTTTGTCCTGAGGAGCGGCTGGTGGTTTCAAACTGCTGGCCTTGCAGGTAACAGTCCACGGGGTAGCCACATCGCCGCCAGGGCTCCTCTTCCTCAGTGGCAGTGTCCCAAGGGGCCCCGGTGGAGTAGTGGGTCTTTGCACAAACCACACGTTCAGTCATTGGAAACTGCCTGCTGCTCCCAGGGAGAAAGAGCAGGCTTGCTGCCTCGGTCAACAGTTTCTGTTTCGGGTTCAGATCTCACTGGGGCAATTCCCCCCTGTCCTGGAGGGCTGATATGAGTGGACACCGACTAGACGCAATGCCGTTTGCCTTTTAATGGCATCATATCTACCTCATAGCGCTCTGGGGCAATTAATTACCCCCAGATCACCCGGGGAAGCCGTAGATAGTGTCTGGAGTATGTGGGCTCTCATCACCATTATTGTCTGCAGGAACACTGGGGCTGGACTTGCAGGGACAAGAAGGTGCCAACAGGCCCGAGGAGAAGAGCATTTTCCAGGCAGAGCAAAGGCCCAGAAACCAGAAGACAGTCCAGGAACCAAGGGGCTGGCTCACCACTTCTAGGTGGGAAGATGGTGGCTGCGCCTCATTTCCTCCTCTGCAGATAGGGGATCGAAAGGATGCGTCCTCCTACTGAGCTCACAGAGAGTGCACGTGAATGTGTTTATTCAACTGTCACAGCTGAAACCTTGGATTGTATGGGAGGGCCTGGAGCCTCCTGCCTTGGACCAGGGGCCATGGACCGAGATGTGCCAGCTTCAACCGAGGAAGAATCACAGTCCACAGGGGGCCCTTACTATGTGCTGGTCACTGTTGCCAACACTATCGCGTGCTGTTTGTTTCATCCTCTCAGAAACCCTGGTTGTTGCCGTGAAGCGCAGTTGGTTCGGTTCCAACCCATAGCAACCGTCTGCGCAACAGAGCGAAACACTGCCGGGTCCTGCGCCCGCCTCACAGCCCGTGTTATATCGAAGACCACTTCTCCAGCCACTGTGCCAACCCATCTCATTGTGTCAATCGTCTCCTCTTCGGGGCTGACCGTATCCCAGGGATATGGTCTCTCCCGATAACATGACCCAAGTACTTCCTCACTGCGAAGGACTATTCCAGCCGCGCTTCTTCCCAGACAGGTGTGTTGGCTCTTCCGGCAGCCGGTGGTGGCTTCTGTTGCGGCTGTTGTCACTGGGTGCCATGGAGTCGGTTGTGACCCAGAGTGACCTTAGCTGCCCGGTCCTGCGCCTCCTCACAAGCCCGCTGGGCAGCCACGGTGCCCATTCATTTCCTTGGGGGCTTCCTCGTGGTCGACACCCCTCTCCTTTGGTCTATTCGATGTTCTCCAGCAAGTTCATGATGTCCATGCACCGCTCGCCTGCAGGCTTCCTTATTGTCCAACCTCCACTCGAAAATGCAACTGGGGACCGGGAAGTGTCAGGGGCCCTGGGAGGGGTTAGCGTTCAAGTACTTCCAGAGGAAGGCCAGGTGCTTCAACTTGTTCCTATAGAAGCTTTGAGAAAAGGCCTATGCCTTCACAGCACAGCACCACCACCTGCCTGCCCAGCAGCACTTGGCTGGCCACCATCACTGCCCGGCCTTGACCGTGGCCACCCAACAGCAGGCCCTCTCCTCCGTCTCCGCAGTCACCTGCTCAGGATCGTTTCTTACTCCTGCCCCTTTCCTGGTGGCAGCACCAGCAGTTGCTTTGGGGGACCCATCCTTTCCTATCAGGGGGTGCATGAGCCTCGGGTGGGGCTCAGAGGTAGGCATCAGACCCAGGCTTACGCCCCTCAAAGCAGCCTTTGTGGTTGGTTCAGCAATCAGATCCAGATTTGGACCTTGTGTCAGGCTGGGTCCTCTAGAGAAGCACAATCTAGTGAAACTTGTATGTGTAGCCAGAGCGTCATCCTCAGGAACTGGCTGACACGGTTACACTCACTCTACTCACTGCCAGTTCTGACTCTGTGTTAGTCTGGGTACTTTGGAGAAACAAATCCACAGCAACTCGTGCATAAGAGAGAGTTTTATGTAAAGGTTAAGCGCACATCAAGAAAACATCCCAACCCAGTGCTGCCCAAGCCCACAAGTCCAACATTAACCCATTAGCCCATATGTCCCACACCAATCCAGAAAGTCCTCCTCCATCTCACAAAGCAGATGCAATGACGCCGACTGACTGCTGGAGGAAAGCCAAGTCAGTGAGTGTGTAAGCATCTCAGCACTGGCAGGGTCTCCACACGGGTGATCCAGCACCCGGGGCTGCATCAGGGTAGGTCCATGTGGCTTCTCCTCGGGGAGGTCTTACAGGAAGTCAGCCTTGCCAGCTGAAGCAGGAACTGCTAAGGCAGCTGCACCCTGGTGCGACCATCACAAAGCAAGAGACCTGAGAACTACAAAGGCGAGGCTCACCGAACCATTTATCCCTCTGCCCTTCAATTAATCCCACATATGTTTATCGGCCAGGTTGGCACAAGAAACTAACTAACTCAGACTCATAGCGACCCCATCACAAAGCAAGAGACCTGAGAACTACAAAGGCGAGGCTCACCGAACCATTTATCCCTCTGCCCTTCAATTAATCCCACATATGTTTATCGGCCAGGTTGGCACAAGAAACTAACTAACTCAGACTCATAGCGACCCTATAGTACAGGACGGAACTGCCCCTGTGGGTTTCCAAGACTGCAACTCTTTTAGGGAAAAGAAAGCCTCATCTTTCTCTGGTGGTTTTGAACTGCTGACCTGGCAGTTAGTGGGCCAACTCATCACACCACCAGGGATCTTACCCACGGCTCCAGAGACGGGCAAGACCCCAGTCCGAGGGTTGGCTGTGAGATGAAGGCATCTTCTAACTTACGTAGCTGCCAGGGCTGACCAACTTTCAGATCCGCAGGATAGACAGGAAGCTGCTAGCTTGTGAGCGGAGGTGGCTGACAAATCCACGACTGGCCGGTGGTGTGGCAGGCCACTAACTGAAGCCCCAATAATTGGAAGTCCCAGGAGAGTCAATACAAGATCCAAAGGGAGCCAAAAGCTAGCGAGCTTTCCCAAATCCTTAAATAGTCAATGCAGGCCAACCCCTTAAGGAGCGACTAAGCACACTGTCTCCCACCACAATCCCTTTGTATTTGGTCAGGCTTGATCCTATCCGATCACATCGTGGAGAGCGACTACAGCAGTCCAGAACTGCTGCATGCCATAATGCACAGGTGCCATGCCAGAAACTCACAGCGCAGCCAAGTTGACACACAACCTTAACAACCATGGGCCTGCTGGGAAAAGAAAAAAAAAAAAAAAGAGCCCTTTCCCCACTGGGGGTTAGTAAGCCCCCAGAGGTGAGAACATAAAGGTAGTCATATTCTTGCTATCATTTGAATATGTAGATCAAGCTGTGCCTAAAGTCCTTAAGCTTTCTGTTATATAAAGGTGTTTGTTTTGTTTGCATACGGCTGTTTGAGTTGGATTTCTGGCACTTGCAACCGTAAGGAGTCTGACTGGTAGACTCCCCTGGAGGAAGACTGGCCCACAGGATCATCCAGAGTACCAGATACGGTGGTGACCCAGGAGATAAAGTTGAAACTCCTTAGTGACACCAGCAAGACCTTCTCTGCACTACCGAGGCTGAGGCCTGGAGGGACGTGGAAGCCAGGCCTGGAGAATCCTAGCTCTACTGTGTCCTCACTGCCCCTCGTCGGGCGAGGTTTCCTCATTTATAAAACCTGCACCGTCATCGTCACTTAATATAGCATCAAGACTCACGCACAGCGTGTGGGTTCATGCCACGCCTAGTGCCAGTCACCACCACATTTGAGTGTTGGCATGTTCCCTCTCCTAGCAGTCTTCACTGGAGAAAACTTGACCCAAGGACCACACAAGGAACACGTTGTCCTACGCAGGATGTTCTGCCCTTCGGATGGCCCAACTCTCCGCAGTGACTGCTCTTTTCACCCTCTTTCTTCTCAATCCTCCACCTGTCCACATGGCTATGTCCTAGGCAGCGTGCTTGCTGCAAGTGGCAGCGAGCCCTAGCTCGGCCGCTAGGAGCACCTGGCCAAGTGTGCCCTGAGACTTAATCCCAGGCCTTCACATTGGAGCTGGGAGTCCTGGAACAGGGTGGTGCCGTGGCTATGGCTTGGGCTGCTAACTACCAAGTCAGCAGTTCAAAACCACCAGGAGAAAGATGAGACTCTCTACTCCCACACGGAGTGCAGGTCTAGGAAACCCACAGGGGCACTTTTACCCTGCCCCATCGAGTCTCCATGAGTCAGAATTGGCTCGAGGGCAGTAAGAGGGGCCCTGGGGACAGAAGGGTTATGGGTTGAGCTGCTAACTCCCAGAAACCACCAGCCTCTCCAGGGGAGAAGAATGAGACTCTCTACTGTAGTAAGAGCGACAGTCTCGGGACTTTAGAAGGGCAGTTCTACCCCATCCTATAGGGTCGGTCGCTGTGAGTTTGCACTGACTCAAGGGCAGCAAGGTTGGGTTTGGGGAGGTCTGGGCAGTATAGTGGGAAAGGGGTTGGGCTGCTAATCACAATGTCAACAGTTT